TGGAATGCATTAGGTAGTGATGTGGTGGAGGCTGACTCCATACACAGTTTTAAATGCAGATATGATAGAGCCCAGTAGGCTCAGGAATCTGTACACCAGTTGATTGACAGTTGAGAGGCGGGACCAAAGAGCCATAGCTCAACACCCGCAAGCACAAACAGGTGAGTACAAATAGGTGAGTACACGCATGTGTATTTACACATAGGGCCTTGCGGACGAGCGGGCAGCTCTCGGGTTTCGTAGTCCTAAGGGCCCGTGATCGATTTCCGGCACAAAGAAATGGGCAGAACAGATAAGATAGAGGAAAATAGGTCAGAAGACTGAACATTAGATAACCGACGAAGTGAGAAAGGCGGGGTCCAAGAACTAAGAGCTCAGTCTTGCAGGCACAAATAGTAAATACACATGCGCACACACGCACGAGGCACGCCATTTGATTGACAATTGAGAGCTGGAACCAAAGAGCCAAAGCTCAACCCCCGCAAGCACAACTAGGTGAGTACACACACACACACACACACACATACACACACACACATACACACACACATACGCACACACACACACACACACACACACACACACACACACACACACACACACACACACACACACACACACACACACAGTGTGTGGTGGTGTCCCACAGGGCTCTGGGCTCTGTGGACCTATCCTGGGCTCTGTACTCGGACCTATCCTGTTTCTGATATACGTATATGATCTCCCAGAGGGTATAGACTCATTTCTCTCAATGTTTGCTGACGACGCCAAAATTATGAGAAGGATTAAGACAGAGGAGGACAGCTTGAGGCTTCAAGAAGACCTGGACAAGCTGCAGGAATGGTCGAACAAATGGTTGTTAGAGTTTAACCCAAGCAAATGTAATGTAATGAAGATAGGGGTAGGAAGCAGGAGACCAGATACAAGATATCATTTGGGAAATGAAGTACTTCAAGAGTCAGAGAGAGAGAAAGACCTGGGGGTTGATATCACGCCATACCTGTCCCCTGAAGCTCATATCAAGAGGATAACATCAGCGGCGTATGCCAGGTTGGCTAACATAAGAACGGCCTTTAGAAACTTGTGTAAGGAATCTTTCAGAACATTATATACCACATATGTCAGACCAATCCTGGAGTATGCGGCTCTAGCATGGAGTCCATATCTTGTCAAGCATAAGACTAAACTGGAAAAGGTTCAAAGGTTTGTCACCAGACCAGTACCAGAGCTGAGAGGTTTGAGCTACGAGGAGAGACTACGGGAATTAAACCTCACTTCGTTGGAAGACAGAAGAGTTAGGGGGGACATGATCACCACATTCAAGATTCTCAAGGGAATCGACAGGGTTGATAAAGACAGGCTATTTAACACAAGGGACACACGCACTAGAGGACACAGGTGGAAACTGAGTGCCCAAATGAGCCACAGAGATATTAGAAAGAACTTTTTTAGTGTCAGAGTAGTTGACAAATGAAATGCATTAGGAAGTGATGTGGTGGAGGCTGACTCCATACACAGTTTCAAGTGTAGATATGATAGAGCCCAATAGGCTCAGGAACCTGTACACCTGTTGATTGACGGTTGAGAGGCGGGACCAAAGAACCAGAGCTCAACCCCCGCAAACACAACTAGGTGAGTACAACTAGGCGAGTACACACACACACAAACAAACAAGCCCCGACTGAGTAGACTCTAGGGTCGAAGTCCTAAGGGTCCGGGTTCGATCCCTGGTAGAGGCAGAAACAAATGAACAGTTTCTTTCACCCTTATACCACTGTTCACCTAGCAGTAAATAAGTACCTGGGAGTTAAATAGCTGCTGCGGGCTGCTTCCTGGGGATGTGTGTGCGTGTGTTGAATAAATGTTGTAGATATAATACAGGAAAAATATATGTTGTTAAAAAGGCGGGGTCCAAGAGCTAATAACTTGATTCTGCAGATACAAATAGTAAATTTGTGTTTACACAAAGTGTGTGTTTACACACAGACAAGACCTTGACCAAAAGAGGCAAAGACCAAAGACAGCATTTAAATGTATTGTTTCTCACACACACACACACACACACACACACACACACACACACACACACACACACACACACACACACACCACACACACACACAGGAAATGTAGATGTTTATCTCTCAGAATGTTTGGTAATATGTTTATTGTTTGTGATGTGTTTATATGTATGTATTAACACGATGTACTGAATAGGGTGAGAATAGCTTGCGCTACCTCATCCCTTTGTGTGTATTTTACCTCAATAAACTTATTTCAATTTCAATTTCACACACACACACACACACACACACACACACACACACACACACACACCACACACACACACACACACACACACACACACACACTCCCTCACTTTACAATGAATGGCAGCGAAAATCTGGAACGAAGAGGGGAAGGGGGGGTCCTAGCGCAGAAGCTAGTCAGTAGTGTGGCAGCTGTGGTGACGGAAGGTTGTGTCAGCCGCGGGGCTCCGGTCTCTCGCACACGCACCGCGTCCGTACTCGCTCCCTGGCGCCACTCGCCGCCACCTGGGTTTCCTCACACTGCCTCCCTCGGTTCTAGCGTCAGCAACGGTGCTGTCACACAAGAGACGAACGAAGAAGTTATGAAGATGCGTTGTTTTCGCTCCTGTGAAGGCTATCGTTGGAGCAAAGATACTGTGAAAAGTAAGAGAAAAATTAGATTCTTGATTAAATCCAGGTGCCTCCAGGGTGTCGTACAATGAAGACTGCGCTAGGAGTTACAGTTCGTGTGAGTGACGGTTCGCCATGGCCTGACTCGTGTTCGGTGAAGCCCACACGCAAGTGACCCCATCAGACAGGCTCTATTCTCTCCAGCAACGCTATGACTATTTCCTTATGTGCCCTGTTGCTAGCGATGGTCAAGCCTCTCCTGGTGTGTGTGGTGGCGGCGGCCGTGTGCGGTGTGGACTCTGTCCTCGGCCAGAGTGGCGGGACGGTGGCAGGTCCTCGTCCCAGGACGCAACTCTCTTCCTTCGTCAGTACAAACTCTTCCCGAAGGGACGAGCTGGCCTTCCCTCCCCGCGGGCTCTTTGAATACTACGCTAGTTTCGATCTCAATCCGGCCTCAGCACCGGCGCTCCCCTCAGTCGCAGGTCGGGGCGGCGAAGTTGCCGTAAATACTAAGCAAGCCAGACAAAGTTTATCTCAAAAACACAATATTTCCGGAGGCGTTGTTGATCCATTGACTGCTAACACGAGTGATGGCGGACACCGGACCGCTAATGTTGTCACCGAATCATCGCATGATTTCAGTAACGACATTCTGTCGAGAAATGCGCCCAAGACTTCGACACGAAAAGCGACAGTTAATGACATCACAAGCGGCATGGAAGGAGCGGGTGACAGTCAGAGAACCGGGCAAACTGCGCGCCTCAGCCCAGAAATATCTCGGAAAATGAATGAAATACTTCATGCCAAGACGAAGAACCTCGAGCGACAGACAATCAGTTCTGAAGAGCTTGCTGAAGTGTTGCAGGTGATGGGTGAATTAGATGATGATGATACACCAGTAGATATCAACCCTGGGCCCCATCTACGCGATGTTGCTGATACCGCAGGTGTTGATAGTGCAACACGTGTCGCAGGTGTTAGTAGCGCAACACATGTCGCAGATGTTATCCAGTCAGCGCATGGGGATGGAGTGTACCACGGGGGCGGCATTCCGCGTAGTGACCTGCAACATGTAAATGTTTCTGAATATGTCAATACGGTGACACGTCTTGGCCACACATCGTACGTGGACGAGCGGACGCACGTGCACGACCCAGCGCACGTGGACGAGCGGACGCACGTGCACGACCCAGCGCACGTGCACGAGCGGACGCACGTGTACGACCCAGCGCACGTGCACGACCCAACGAACGTGCACGACCCAGCGCACGTGCACGACCCAACGAACGTGCACGACCCAGCGAACGTGCACGACCCAGGGCACGTGCACGACCCAGCGAACGTGCACAACTACGAAACCAACCACCATTACCGTACCACTTCCAACGGTGGCGAGAGTGATTACGCCCAATACGGCGATTATACCGCCTACCAAAACTACGGAGAACGCGATCACGACTTCCCCGACTTGGAGTCGTCCCCAACTAACGACCACTATGTCAACTACGACCAATATAACACCTACGACCACCACTATTCAGGGCATGTAAATCGGTTTCGTGAGGCGGAGAAAGTCGAAAGCCTTTGTGAACCTGAAAAGTGTTTCTGTGCTGTGTTTACACTCGCTGACGACCCCGAGGGCGAAGATAATCTTAGTGGTGAGGAAGATGGTGATTACGCCTCCCTTGAGGGTATTAGTAACCAAGATCAAGGGGGCATTAATGACCTCGGTTACTATAACCAAGGCAATCAAAGCCGCGAGAGTGCCAGTGCCACGGCCCTCGGTTCGCAGGGGCCAGGTCAAGAAAGAGATTCTCTGGGCCAAGAAAGAGGTCCTATGGGTCAAGAAATAGGTGAGCCAAGTCAAGAAACCGGTCAGCCAGGTCTTGAAAGAGGTCAACCTCGTTATGGAGTGTTGTGCAATGCTTCGTTTTCTGTCAGGAATTTCTCAGGTGTTGCCCAAGACAGCTGCAAGGTGCAAACCACAAAATTGTAAGTACTGATTTTATTTTGCTATGTTAAAAAAAAATATGTAAGCAAAGTACACATGTTAATTACATATATTTATGCCGGTAGTAGTATAGAAAATGGATATTTGTTATGTCTAGTTATATTTCCTTTTTTTTAATTATTATCTTTATTGTCATTATTATTGAGAAAATCCGTAAAGGAGCTGTGATGGGGGATCGAACCTGAGCAAGTGGATGATGCAGTCACATCAGTGTGATTATTCCTGTTATTATGATTATTATATTTCTTTTATCTATGATTTTAATTCTTATATTTATTTAGATAAATTATATTATTTATTATTTTCATTGTATGAATTAATTTGAATAGCTAATATTCAAATTGTAACGACTGAAATATTTACACATATATTAATTATAATTGCAAAATTGATTATTCAAGAACTATTATAATTGGTATTTACCAGATATATTATAGTCTTGCAGCTATAAAAATATTACACACATGATTATGTATTTTTAATATATTATATATTTTTAGTAAATCTTTAGACTATGATGATTGGGGAGGGAGATGGAATGTCAAACTTCAAGGAGGTTATACCAAACATATCGTCCTGTGGTAAGGCTGATATACCGGCTACTGTGATATACTGTGGTAAGAAGCCACTGATATACCAGCCACCGTCCTCCTAATGGTTTCCCAACGTCAAGAAAACGGCCAATTTAAAGTAGTCTCTCCTAACCGACCACCAGAGGACCCAAAACAGAAAACGGGACAGAACGTCACTTTCGCCAACCGCTTCCAATTTTCTAGTACAGCAATTTGTTACCTTATGTAAATCATACGAGCGAAAAGCGACGTTTTTTTTTTTGTAAGAGAACAGATTGGTATAACATTGTATCTCGCTAATGGGATTAGTAATGGAACACTCACCACTAACTTAGGTTGCCCGACCAGGGTCTTAAGTTAAACCAAGATAGGACCACATACACATCTAATGAGAAGCAAAGTTAATGTACCTGAGTCATTGTGGCACACACGCACACACTCTGCAACACACGAGAGATGCGGCTGATCTGTGCGTATTGTGCAAGGATAAAACTATTCAATCCTCCCTCCACTCCCTCCACATTTCATTCTCCACAAGTCCCTCTATCAAAAATAAAATACCAAACGACATTACCAGATGTTCCTTTGCACGAACAAAGCAATTTCTGCGCTCTTATCTTAAATACGCAAAATTATGGAGCGTATTTTTGAACATATTGACACTAATATTTCAAAAAAATGGTGTAAATTAATAGTTAATAAGTTAAGAATGCAATAATCTGTATCTATAAAATAGAATGTATGTTTTTGTCTGTCTGCTGAAGGTTGAAGGCCCACATCGCTTGGGACTAGCTTCATCAAACTCTCAATAGTGATTGTGAAGGGGTTGGTGCCGAACATGGGCAGGTAAAGACCTATCCAAATACTCCTATTTAACCGTACGTGCTTCCATGACCACTCTCATGCAGTTAGTGGTGACTAGCTTCATGTCGCCACTAACTAGCTTCATGTTTAACTGAAACTGAAACTAGCTTCATGTTTAGCGTGTCACATCGTTCGACTCGCTAAAATCAAAATTCAAATCAGTTATGCGTTCTTACCGTATCGTAAAACATTATGCACTGACGTCTGCAAACTTGAAAAAAAAAAACTTATGCATCATTTATTTTATTGGGGCCAGACGGCTGAGTGGACAGCGCTTGGAATTCGTAGTCCTAAGGTTCCGGGTTCGAACCCCGGCAGAAGCGGAAACAAATGAGCAGAGTTTCTTTCACCCTGATGCCCCTCTTCACCTAGCAGTAAATAGGTACCTGGGAGTTAGACAGCTACTACGGGCTGCTTCCCGGGGATGTGTAACAAAAAGGAGGCCTGGTCGAGGACCGGGCCGCGGGGACTCTAAGCCCCGAAATCATCTCAAAATAATCTCAAGATCATAATTTTCCCGTATTAAGTGTAAGAAATGTTGACGACGTCATGGAAAACAGGAAAGTTATAGGCTCACTAACAGCCTCATTGCGGGATGTGTCGACACTCAAGTTAGGGATCCAAATCAGTAGTGTTCCTATAGACCATCAGTATTTCTCCTAATTTGTCTTTGATTATTTTTTGGATGGTGTGATGCCAGTTCGACCTCAGAAGATTGATATGGTCAGTATAGATCGAACCTCGCACTTGAACGACCAAACACCAATTCGACCCGGGAATCACCGGGCACCCCCCTTCCCCTCCCCCCTTCCCCCCATGTACCTTGAGGTTATCTTGAGATGATTTCGGGGGCTTAGCGCCCCCGCGGCCCGGTCTTCGACCAGGCCTCCTTTTTGTTATACACCCCCAGGAAGCAGCCCGTAGCAGCTGTCTAACTCCCAGGTACCTATTTACTGAGAGGGGGAAGAGTGGCATCAGGGTGAAAGAAACTCTGCCTATTTGTTTCCGCCTCCGCCTAGTATCGAACCCGGAACCTTAGGACTACGAATCCCGAGCGCTGTTCACTCAGCCGTCAGGCCCCCTTAGTATGTAGTATTCCAATTAAAGTTTAGAATCCCCACATCGCTACAGATAGCTACAAAATTATGTAGTTCCAGCTTGCAAACTCCTCAGTAGACTCTCACATGTGATCCCAAATAAACTATTGGAAACAAAAGAGGATCGTACTGAAAACTAAATTTGTATTCAGAAATAAATAGTAAGGCTTTATATAGTATATTATAATAGAGAGATAAGTGGTTCTCGTTCATATTCACTGAGCTCAGAACGCGGGTATTGTTCTCGTTCATATTCACTGAGCTCAGAACGCGGGTATTGTTCTCGTTCATATTCACTGAGCTCAGAACGCGGGTATTGTTCTCGTTCATATTCACTGAGCTCAGAACGCGGGTATTGTTCTCGTTCATATTCACTGAGCTCAGAACGCGGGTATTGTTCTCGTTCATATTCACTGAGCTCAGAACGCGGGTATTGTTCTCGTTCATATTCACTGAGCTCAGAACGCGGGTATTGTTCTCGTTCATATTCACTGAGCTCAGAACGCGGGTATTGTTCTCGTTCATATTCACTGAGCTCAGAACGCGGGTATTGTTCTCGTTCATATTCACTGAGCTCAGAACGCGGGTATTGTTCTCGTTCATATTCACTGAGCTCAAACGCGGGTATTGTCCTCGTTCATATTCACTGAGCTCAGAACGCGGGTATTGTTCTCGTTCATATTCACTGAGCTCAGAACGCGGGTATTGTTCTCGTTCATATTCACTGAGCTCAGAACGCGGGTATTGTTCTCGTTCATATTCACTGAGCTCAGAACGCGGGTATTGTTCTCGTTCATATTCACTGAGCTCAGAACGCGGGTATTGTTCTCGTTCATATTCACTGAGCTCAGAACGCGGGTATTGTTCTCGTTCATATTCACTGAGCTCAGAACGCGGGTATTTTTCTCGTTCATATTCACTGAGCTCAGAACGCGGGTATTGTTCTCGTTCATATTCACTGAGCTCAGAACGCGGGTATTGTTCTCGTTCATATTCACTGAGCTCAGAACGCGGGTATTGTTCTCGTTCATATTCACTGAGCTCAGAACGCGGGTATTGTTCTCGTTCATATTCACTGAGCTCAGAACGCGGGTATTGTTCTCGTTCATATTCACTGAGCTCAGAACGCGGGTATTGTTCTCGTTCATATTCACTGAGCTCAGAACGCGGGTATTGTTCTCGTTCATATTCACTGAGCTCAGAACGCGGGTATTGTTCTCGTTCATATTCACTGAGCTCAGAACGCGGGTATTGTTCTCGTTCATATTCACTGAGCTCAGAACGCGGGTATTGTTCTCGTTCATATTCACTGAGCTCAGAACGCGGGTATTGTTCTCGTTCATATTCACTGAGCTCAGAACGCGGGTATTGTTCTCGTTCATATTCACTGAGCTCAGAACGCGGGTATTGTTCTCGTTCATATTCACTGAGCTCAGAACGCGGGTATTGTTCTCGTTCATATTCACTGAGCTCAGAACGCGGGTATTGTTCTCGTTTCATATTCACTGAGCTCAGAACGCGGGTATTTTTCTCGTTCATATTCACTGAGCTCAGAACGCGGGTATTTTCTCGTTCATATTCACTGAGCTCAGAACGCGGGTATTTTTTCTCGTTCATATTCACTGAGCTCAGAACGCGGGTATTGTTCTCGTTCATATTCACTGAGCTCAGAACGCGGGTATTTTTCTCGTTCATATTCACTGAGCTCAGAACGCGGGTATTTTTCTCGTTCATATTCACTGAGATCAGAACGCGGGTTTTGTTCTCGTTCATATTCACTGAGCTCAGAACGCGGGTATTTTCTCGTTTCATATTCACTGATCTCAGAACGCGGTTATTTTTTCCTCTCGTTCATACTTCACTGAGCTCAGAACGCGGTAGTTCCTCGTTCATGTTCACTTGAGCTCAGAACGCGGGTATTGTTTCCGTTTATTTCACTGAGCTCAGAAAGCGGGTTATTGTTCCGTTCATATTCACTGAGTCAGAACGCGGGTATTGTTCTCGTTCATATTCACTGAGCTCAGAACGGGGTATTGTTCTCGTTCATAATTCACTGAGCTCGGAAAGCGGGTATTGTTCTCGTTCATATTCACGGAGCTCAGAACGCGGGTATTGTTCTGTTCATATTCACTGAGCTCAGAACGCGGCGGGTATTTTTCTCGTTTATATCATGAGCTCAGAACGCGGTATTTTTCTCGTTCATATTCACTGATCAGAACGCGGGTATTTTTCTCGTTCATATTCACTGAGCTCAGAACGCGGGTATTTTTAGAGGGAGCCATC